AAAAGAGGGAAAAAGAGAAATAGAAGAAGAATAGAGACAAAGAAAGAAGAAAGAAAGGCCGTATGGAGAGGGAGGAACCGGCGGACTGCCAAGCATGGGATACGAGACATGACCTGTTTATAGATTCCCCATATTGTCCAACATCCAGCCTAGGACAGTGCTGAGAGATATTTCATCCAAGGATCTCAAGTTTTTTCAAAGTAGGCCACCCTATCAAGAAGAATAGCGGTAAAACATTCATTGACCATAATCCAGGTCAGTTTGGCCTAAAGGAGGTCAAGGGATACCAAGGGGAATTGGCAGGAGCGTACAATGGATATTCTGGCTGTAGTGAATATAAATGCAATCAGGCATCTCACATACCCGAATATGCCTTCCATCGGCTTCCCCAGGAGGGCCTGAAGTGGATATTTGATAAGATTAACCCAAGTGAATCTATAAAATTATATGTATGAAACCAAAAATCGCTTTACTTTGCTACAGATTAACAACGTATGGAAAACCGTTCCCAGATCCTGTCCCACAGCCACAGAAACAGCTGGAGGAGGCCCCCTGAACAAAAGACGCCAAGCGGGAGGGTACCAAATACCATCGCAAGAAAACCTTATAATTAGCTTTGATTAATATTTTTTAAATTTTCAAGCAGATTAATATAGGTATATGATAGATTCACTTGAAAATGGAGTACAATATAACCAATGAGGGTACAACAATAGGTTACAAAGAAAAAGCATGATAACAGAATACATGTGTTTTTTGACGTGACAATTCTATCCCAGCCCATGCAAGTGAAAACAGCAGAAAATCATACAGAGCTACAGAAATAACATGAGCTTAGGTACCTAATAGTATAACAGAATTAAGGACACCACTTATAATTATCTAGGGTTGAAAACCCCGGTGTCAAGTAGGCTACACAGATGATTAGCAGGAAAGAAGCTGAGAAGAATGTAAGAAGGAGATGGTAGGTGGGGGATATAAGGTGACAGTAAGGCATGTCTATCAAATTTATAGTCCCGTAGGTGAATTTAAAATATCTCACCCCCAGTGTGACATGGGAAGGCATTCAAACTCAATATTATTATTATTATTACACAGCATTTATATAGCGCCAACAGTTTGCTCAGCGCTGTACATTACAATGGGAGACAATACATGAGACAGTAACAATACAATAAAATACACGAGGGGTTCGAGGGCCCTGCTCCTTGGAGCTTACAATCTAGGAGGGAGGGGAGAGTGGTACAGGAGGAGATAGCTGTGGGGGATGGAGTGGTGGGGAGAGCGGAGGAGATCAGCAGTTAGGTGAGGGTGGGGTAGGCTTCTCTGAAGAGATGGGTTTTCATGGTGCGCCTAAAGGCGAGGAGGGTAGGTGACAGTCTGATGGATTGGGGTAATGAGTTCCAGAGGATGGGGGAAGCCCTGGAGAAGTGCTGGAGACAGGCATGGGAGGAGGAGACCAGGGAGCTGGAGAGAAGGAGGTCTTGTGAGGACCGGAGAGTGCGTTTTAGGTGGTAGATGGATATCAGGTCGGTGATGTAGTTTGGGGCAGTGTTATGAACAGCTTTGTACGTCAATGTTAGTATTTTGAATTTTATGCATTGGGCAATCGGAAGCCAGTGGAGGGATTGGCAGAGGGGGTTGGCGGATATGGAGCGGTTGGTAAGGTGGATGAGTCTGGCCACAGAATTCAGGATAGACTGAAACAGGGATAGGGGTAGGCCGGCAAGGAGGGAGTTACAGTAGTCAAGTCGTGATATGATAAGGGAGTGAACGAGTTGCTTTGTAGTTTCTGGAGTTAGGAACATGCGTATTTTGGAGATGTTGCGGAGGTGGAGTCTGCATGAATTTGTCAGCGATTGGATCTGGGGCTGGAAAGACAGATTGGAGTCTAGAATGACACCTAGCACTCTGGCTTGCGGGGTGGGGCTGATGGTGGCGTTGTTGGTCGTGATGGAGTGGTCGGGGGGGGGGGGGCTGGGGGGAAAACTAGGAGCTCGGTTTTTTGGCAAGATTTAATTTGAGGAAGTGGAGTGGCATCCAGTCTGATATGTCGTTCAGAAGGCTAGTGATTCAGGCGGAGACTGAAGGGGTGAGGCGAGGGGTAGAGAAATAGATTGGAGTGTCATCGGCATAGAGATGGTAGTTGAAGCCGTGGGAGTGTATCAAATCAATATCATTCAGATTTTCAGACAGTCCCCAAGAAAAGTTGAAGTTTGGTAGGACTCGACTTATGCTTGTATAGGTGTAAGTTTCTCAAGGTACATAACCTAAGAAACCCAGAACTTGACTTCTGCAAAAGGTAATGTGGGAAACTTCCAATCCCTAGTTCACCCTCTTAGCGTCCATGAGGATATGGGTAACCAGCTTAAATTAGGTGCTGGTACAGACTTTAGTTTTTTTTTTAACAAAGCTATGTAGAGATCCTTGTGGAAGGATACTCAAATAACAGTGTATAACCATTAGTAAACTGTGGCCCAAAAGTGTTTGTCCTTTGGACAATCCCACCAGAGGTGCTACAACAAGCTGTCAGTGCAGCATCCACAGAAACAAAGCAGTGAATAGACCAGAGCAGAATAAGTGATCCTCAAAGGGACCAAGTATCATAAGTGAGTTTATAATTGGCCTCTACAACCACCACGAGTCAAACTTTTGGCCACGGTGGCCCAAATCTGTTTCCAACTCCTGGGTGGGAAAGTAGTACGGAAATCAGATTCACATTTCAAAACATAGAGAGGGGGATTATCTAGTAGGGCCCTTTTGAAGACTGAGCAAGTACAAGTCTGGCACACCTGTCAGGGTTTGGAGAAAATGCTTAATTTAAAGGTATTGAAAATGTGCCTTTGTTTGAGTGTATTATTATCACGAGGAGTGTGGGGAGGGTTTAATATCCAAATCTGTGAAGAAGGGCTTTGCTAAATATAAATGGTTACAAGAGCCAAGGCATTAATAGTCCTGGGGGGAACAGAGGACTGGCAAAAATGGACATCATTGGAAGGTGCAGTAAGATCAATTTGTGAGTGGCATTGAGACAGCTTCATACCCTCAAAGTGTGGTTGTTGGCATGGCAGGTGACCCTACCGCATCTTTTTTTTTTGTGAGGTATCGATAATGGATAGTTCATCCATTAATTGGTGTTGGTGGGGTTTTTATTTTTATACAAAACTAACTTCGTGACCTGACCGAGAGAGCCTTTCCATAAAAAAGTAAGTTGAAAGAATAGCAAGCGACAATAATCTATTTATTGGTCTGGTAAAAAGTTTTGTAGGCATGAGCTGAAAATTTAGGTAAGGTAGAGTGGAAGGGATCCCTTTGAAAGAAAGAGAACTTGGAAGGGATTTGCAGAGGCAGTCGAGTACAAATCACTTAAAGCCATAGACTTAGTTGTTAACACACAACCTTGAAAGATTTCCAGATTCTGTAAACATTGCATTAAGTTTGGAAGATAAATCAGAGCATTAGAGAGAACCTGAAGTGCATTGTCTTCAAACAGACAGATTTTCTGATGATGCCCTGCCACCAACTACCACAGTAATGTCCCAATGCAACCTAATGGTTTGGGCAAGGAGTGAGTGAATAGTAGAAGAAACGGGCTGTTTCATACAACACAATATTGAGAATATGTCTGAGTGATATTTACTGTGTCTGATAGATGTTGTCGGGCATGAATAAAGGGCAATTCAAGAATAAAAGAACAAACCCCCAGCATCTCAGCAGGAAGTTTGGATAATACCAACAGAGGGAATCAAATGCCTTTCGAATGTCCAGTAACAGAAGCATTAAAGGGCATTTTCTTTGGCATGCAATCAGAAGAAGTGAGATCCTGTGAACATTTTCCTCTGCCTGTCTGCCTGGTACAAACCCCACTTATTCCTTACAAATTTAGCCAGGCAACAGCAGATTTGGTCTATTAGCAATTGTCTTGGCACAACAGCTTAAAGCCAATGTGTATGAAAGTAATGGGGTGACTGCAAAGGAAGGCCTCTGCTGCCTGTTCATTAAAGGGAGCGGTGCTTTGAAAAAGGTTGGACAGGTGAGTATGAAAAAATCAAGTCAGACCAGTATCCCAGAGTCTATTTGCTAGCAAATAGAACATATGCTGTGTCCAGTGTAAATGACTATGCGCTGTGCGCCGGGGGAGTAAGGCACAAGTTGGGTTGTATTTTGAGACTAGGTAATTGCAACTGGTTAGCAGGAGATTAATAATTTTGAATGCCCTGGCTTTCTAGGAGAAAGTCCTCATCAAGTTGTGAAGCAAGGCCTAGCCTCCCTCCATTTCTTTGCCCGTCAGTGTGATACATTGTATTTGATGGCTTGACCTTTTATCTGCATATATTGTCAATTTCAGCATCCTGTGAGAAAGTGTAAGCAAATAAATAAATAACAAGGTGTTCCTTTTTAACCTTCTATAAACCCTTATTGAACCCCAAATAGCTCTTATCTAGTTCCTCCCCTACTCTCCTTTTGATTTTTTGATTTTTTTTTTTCTTTATTAGCAAATTTGTTTCTTTTTACCATTCACATGTGAACTTATTTTTTGTAAAAAAAAAAAAAAAACACTTTTATTTTCATGATTAACCACTTGCCTACAGGGCACTTATACCCCCTTCCTGCCCAGGCCGGTTTTCAGCTTTCAGCGCTGTCACACTTTGAATGACAATTGCATGGTCATGCAACACTGCACCCATATGAAATTTGTATAATTTTTGAGACAGATAGAGCTTTCTTTTGGTGGTATTTAATAACCTCTGGGTTTTTTTATTTTTTTTGCTAAACAAACCAAAAACAACTGAAAATTTTGAAAAAAAAAGTTGTTTCTTCATTTCTGTTATAAAATTTTGTAAGTAAGTGATTTTTCTCCTTCACTGATGTGCACTAATGAGGCTGCAGTGATGGGCACTGATAGGCTATACTGATAGGTGGCACTGATGGGCACTGATGAGGAGGCACTAGTAGGTGGCACTAATGTGCATTGACAGGCATCACTGAAAGGCAGCACTGATAGGTGGCACTGACTGGCACTGATAGGTGGCACTGACTGTCACTGTTAGGCAGCACTGATAGGCGGCACTGATGCCCACTGATAGGCGGCACTGATTGGCAGCACTGATAGGTGGCACTGACTGGCATTGATAGGTGGCACTGATAGGTGATACTGAAAGGCAGCTCAGATGGTCACTGATATGTGGCATTGATGGGCACTGGTAGGCACAGATATGTGGCATTGATGTGGCACTGATGGGCACTGGAAGGTGGCATTGATGGGCACTGACAGCTGACATTGATGGGCACTGACAGGTGGTACTGCTGGGGCTACACTGATCATCAGGGCACACTGGTCATCAGTGCCCTGATGATCAGTGTACATGTCCCCTCCGAGGAATGCCGATTACCGCTTCTCCTCTCGAGCTGTCAGCATGACAGCTCGTGAGGAGAGAAATGACGATAATTGGCATTTCCCTATTTACATGCAATTAGCTGTGATTGGACACAACTGATCACATGACCGAACAGACATCTTCGGCTCTTTCCGTTGATCGGTGATCCACTGTGTCCGAGGGACAAAGCGCACCACCAATTGCTGCGCTGCACGCTCCCAGAGCTGTGTACGCACGGTTAGAATGGGAGGAAGTAGTATGATGTTCTCCCAGAACGAGAGAACCACCTTGCGCCCGTCATTACCTTATATGGTGGGCGGGAGATGGTTAAATAAAGTTGTTAAGACATTTTCCAGTTGTAAACAGGTAAAAAGTTTGTTTTTTCCTTGCTTTTGATGTTTAGATTATATAGAAAATAAAGTATGCTTTGAATAACAGTTTCATGGAAACAAAGCCTTGTTTACCCAAATTCAATTCCCCCCAAATTTCTTCTATTGAAATTTGTTTTATGATGCATAGAACTAGTGTTGTGCCATGGGAATGCAGGCCGCACCTTATCACCTTATCCCCCCCCCCCGAATACCTTACTATTAAATATTATAAATACACAACACATATTATATGGCATAACATTTTTGCTGCGGCACTTTTATTGGTTAAAATACACAGATAATAGATTAACTTGTAAAATATATTTTATTTAATTAAATCACATTTTATTATTAACCATAAATAACGCAGTGCAGTCATTAAGGACTCAAGCTAAACTGACAGAAATATATCAGTAAGTCCCCCTTTTTCAATATTAAGAGTGACACAAACCACATAATAGTTCCTTGTGATGAGGAAGGGTGGGGAACTCATTGGACGATGCCAACCAACTGCAATGAAATCCATCACAGTGTGCCTTTATATAATTATCCCCTCTTTCCCAGAAAATTCTAAAAGGTCACATGACCTTCCAGAATTTTTGTATGGTCACATAACCTCCCTTTTTCCCTCTCAAATCCTTCTAAATTCTTAAGGGGTCTTATCCTACTTAATACTTTATTGAAGAAAATATTTTTATTTCATAAGGAGAGAGGGGGCGGCCTCATGCCATGATGTCGGGCTATCATGTTTGAGCCCTCATTTGCCATTCTAAAAAAATTGCTTGAATCTATGGGATGTGAGGCAAGATGACAGAGTTGTAGAGCAAGTAGGTAGATACTGCAGAATTAATATTTAATTTGTAAGTTCATGTTACCAATACTGAGTAATCAGCAGTGGGAAAAGTCTGCAGTTTGGGTGCCATTTGAGAGCAGTCAGTCAGTATAGATGTTAAATAGAGGCTCTTTGGAGTCAGGCTGCTCAACACTGCTCTGTAACTAGACACTGTAGAAAGTAATTCAACGTGGAGGCTGCAAGAATAAATTAATTGTTATACACATCAACTTTTATCTGGGCACTGGCAAACTGGCCAGAAACATGTTAGGTTATCTAATTTAAGAACTTCAGCATGTAAGAGCATTTTTTTGGTGACAAATTTTAGATCATTCTCAGTAGCAATTTGGTGCCTTTATCTTATGTTCATTGCATGATTAATGTCTAATATGTACATGTGTTCTGGAATATATGACAAGATAGTTAATTGCATGTTGTACTGTTTTTTCTTCATGCTCGTGGCATGCTTTGTATTTTAAATTAATGCATCTACTGCATGTTTGTTTCTTTGCAAAGTTTGTATCACTGTTTTTCCACACTCTCCAATAATGAGAGCAACACTCCTTATAATATCTACACTCCTATTTAAGATTGAGAGTGCTCTTTGTATAAAAAGGCCATCGTCTCAGTATTAGCATACCACGCAGGTCTGTTATTCAATCCATGATTCCCCAACAGTGACCCATTAGTATAAAATGTTGCAGTGCTAAGACTGTATAAGTATAGGCAGAAGACACACAGAACTTTCACTAATGCAGGTGCAGTGGGTAAGAGAGTCTGGGTGACTGGGAAGACAGGACAACTAGTCCAGTGTACTGAGAGAATAAGTACCGTAAGTCACAAGGGAGTGAGAGAGCCTGGAGCAGGGGCGGACTGACAACTCATGGGGCCCCCGGGCAATAGGGGATCATGGGGCCCCTGTGTCCTTGCCCAAACTCAAAAAAGCCTATGAAAAAGTTACCAGGGCCATCTCATGGGGCCCCCTACTGACCCCGGGCCCTCGGGTAGTGCCCGAGTTTCCAAATGGTCAGTCCGCCCCTGGCCTGGAGTGCCAGGAGATCCCCTACCTAGAGTCCAGTAGTTGGCCAGGGCAGCACAGTGCTGTAACTAAAGGTTATGTGAGCCAGGAGAGCCAGAGAGCTCTATCTGAAGGATCATGACACGAGCAGCAGCACAGCTGAATAGTAAGCCAGGTGGCTTGGTAATTTTAGTTACCTGTTTTAGCTCATAATGCTTTGTGAAACTGAACCCTCTGCAGGAAAATACTGACATAAGAGACTTTGTTTTTTATTTTGGTTTGATTATTATAAGTGGGCCAGCAAGCCCCTAAACCACAAGTTGGATTGGCATGACTCACTAAAAATGCATCTACCATCTAAGGCTTCACCCATATCACAAAAGCTTAACATTCATTACAGTTACAAATTCCACAAATAGAGCATATTATCAAAGAAGACCCAATCCAGTTGGTTTCATGCACAAACACACAATTTCATAGTGCATTGAAATATATGTGAAAAAGTGTGGATTTAGGATAAGACCTTTATATGTAATATTCCTAAAATACTGTAGTTATTATTGCCTGTGTTCCAACTGGGGAGACACACTCCTTTATTTGTATTCATCACCATTGCTACAAAGGAGAAATAAAATTATTATTATTATTATTACTACGAGTTTATATAGCGCCAAAGGGTTTGCTCAGCGCTGTACAATAGGGGGGACAATACATGGCACAGTACAACAACAACAAACAACGTACGAGGGGTAAGAGGGCCCTACTCTTACGAGCTTACAATCTAGGAGGGAGGGGGTAAAGGTACAGTAGGAAGTGGCTGAGGGGGATGAAGTGGTGGGAGGAATGAGGGAGGATGGCCGTTAGGTGAGGGTGGGGTAGGCTTCCCTGAAGAGATGGGTTTTGAGGGAGCGCCTGAATGTGAATAGGGAAGGCGACAGTCTGATGGATTGGGGCAGTGAGTTCCAGAGGATGGGGGAGGACCTGGAGAAGTCCTGCAGTCGTGCATGGGAGGAGGAGACCAGGGAGCAGGATAGAAGGAGGTCCTGTGAGGAGCGAAGGGTACGGGTAGGGTGGTACTTGGTGATCAGGTTGGTGAGGTAGTCAGGGGCAGTGTTGTGAACGGCTTTGTAGGTCAAGGTTAGGAGTTTAAATTTGATGCGTTGGGCAATCGGGAGCCAGTGGAGGGAGAGGCAGAGGGGGGTGGCAGAGGTGGAGCAGGTGGTGAGGTGGATGAGTCTGGCAGCTGAGTTCAGGATGGTCTGGAGCGGGGAGAGCCTGCACTTGGGTAGACCAGTAAGGAGGGAGTTGCAGTAGTCAAGGCGTGAGATGATGAGGGAGTGTACTAGAAGTTTGGTGGTGTCTGGGGTGAGGAATGAGCGTATCTTGGCAATGTTGCGAAGATGAAGCCTGCATGTGTTTGTGAGTGATTTGACATGCGGTTGGAGGGAGAGGTTCGCGTCAAGAATGACGCCAAGGACTTTGGCTTGCGGGGCGGGAGTGATAGTGGAGTTGTTGGTGATGATGGATAGGATGGGGGGGGGGGGGTGTTGGCAGGGGGAAAGATGAGGAGCTCGGTTTTGGAGAGGTTGAGCTTGAGGAAATGTAGCGACATCCAGTCTGAGATGTCATTTAGGAGGTGAGTGATGCGGGCGGAGATAGTGGGGGTGAGGTGAGGGGTGGAGAGGTAGATTTGGGTGTCGTCAGCATAGAGGTGATAGTTGAAGACGTGAGATTGTATGAGTTTGCCCAGGGAGGAGGTGTAGATGGAGAAGAGAAGGGGTCCAAGGACAGAGCCTTGGGGGATCCCAACAGAGAGGGGGAGGGAGGGGGAGGTGGCACCATTGTAGGTGACACTGAAGGAGCGTCGGGATAGGTAGGATGAGAACCAAGAGAGAGCAGTATCTCCGATGCCAAGGGAGAGTACTTTATTAAGGAGGAGGGGGTGGTCAACTGTGTCGAAGGCCGCAGAGAGGTCCAGGAGAAGGAGAACAGAGTAGTCGCCCTTGGCTTTGGCGTTGAGTAGGTCGTTAGTGATTTTGAGGAGGGCAGTTTCAGTGGAATGTAGGGGACGGAAGCCGGACTGTAGAGGGTCAAGGAGGTTATTGTCTGTAAGGTGGGCGCTTAGGCGATCGTAGACTATGCGTTCAAGGAGCTTGGAGGTGAGTGGCAGCAGGGAGATGGGTCTGAGGTTGTTGGGGTCCGCGGGATCCAGGGAGGGCTTTTTGAGGATGGGGGTGATATGCGCGTGCTTTAGGGGGGAGGGGAATACGCCAGTAGAGAGGGAGAGATTGAAGATGTGGGTGAGGGAGCGGATGAGGGAAGAGGGGGGTGACCGGAGGAGTTGAGAGGGGATAGGGTCCAGGGGGCAGGTAGTGAGGCGGGCTTTTGAGAGGACTTTGGCGACTTCCTCAGTAGTGACAGGGCTGAGGGAGTGCAGTGCGGGGGGGGGGGCTATGGTGGGCGGGGCATTGGGAGAGGAGGGGGGCAGTGCGGTTGTGAGGGCAGAGGAGGGGGGAGATGAAGGGGTGACGGGGGCGAGGAGGCTAGGTGGGGAGGTAGATTGCAAGTTGACGATGTCCTTACGGATAGCGTCAATCTTGTTGTGGAAATGGGTGGCAATCTCGTGGGCGGTGAGAGAGGTACTGAGTGGAGGAGGGGGGGGGGGGAGCAGGGAGTTGAAGGTGGAGAAGAGTCGGCGGGGGGCA